AGATAAATAAATGGGAATCGATTTATATTGTTATTGAATGGTGTACAGCGTTGGACAATCCTCAATTGCGACATCATCAGCGACAAACAATTATGGTATAGATATATCAATATTGGTATTCCATGGTTCTAAGTGGAAAAGACCAGGTGACTCAATAGTCACTTAATCAGAGTAAACTTTACTCATTGGTCAAAGGCTCTTTGGTGAATTATCGTAAGTATTCTTGAATTTGAACGTAAAATTCATGAGAAATTTTTCATGCAACCCATGAGACAAAATACAAAGGTTTATCATTTACTCATATAGAAGTTATGTGATAACACACGAAAGTCCGAGTGTTTTGACTTTTCCTTGCAATGGTTTAACCTCTTATTACATGTTTTCTATAACTTTCTGCTATGAAAAATGCCATTGTGTAATCAACAAATATCTTTATTAAATGAGACCATACAGCATAATAATAAGTTTGAAAAAAGGGAGCAGATAAATTTACAATTTCAGGTGAATCTGCCCATCTCGTCAACCACTTGAAAAACGTTCTGGGGTATCGAAAATTTTGTTATTATTGCAATTTTAACAATTACAATATTCAACATTTGCGAGAGCATTTTGTTAATGCTCACTGGAGACGAAGATTTGCCCAACCGAAGCTAGAACCAGAAAAAAGCCAAATCAAAATCAAAGTCTTTGATTCTGCAGAATCTGAAGATGACAGTACAATGGATACAAATTCGATGGTGATGAATTTATCACATTATGGGTAGAAATGAATGGTCGCTCTTGATTATGATGATGATGCAAATGGGGTCGGAGGTCTATTGAATGCAATAATAAATATCCATTTTGCAACAAAAGAAGAATAACAGAACTGGTTAAATAAACAAATACAAGGCATGGTGTTCTTTGACTGAGATGAAAAACGCAAGTAAATGATTTCAGTTAGTCAACAAGAAGTACCCAGCAAACCAGAAATTTGTAGCGTTTAACCGCTCAGCGTCTCGTTCAATACACTGCTAAAATTAAAGATATTTTTTAATTCGTGTAACCGCATTCGTAAAATCAATTTTAGTGTTCACACCTGAACCAGATGACTGAAGGTTTTCTTGATTTTTCGTGTAAGTTTAATCCAGATGTGTAGATTTAAATTATTACGCGGCCTTTTTCAAGTCACATTTTATTGAAAAGGAATTTTTTACACTTAAAATTCATTGATTACAAGTATTTATTACATATCTTGATTACGTTTTTCTAGATAAGTTTACCTGCATAATAAACGCCTCATGTAAGTACATTAGACCCTACATGTTTCAATAAAGCATCAACAAGAACTTCGCTACAGCATGATACCTTAGAAGCGGTGTCTCGAAGGAACAAGCTCTAATAGTTTTTATCCTTGCTTATCATGCAATTTAAAACAAAAAACATCTACCTGTCGTCGTGTGGATGTTTTTATTGCGAAATTTGTGTAAAATGCTCCCCTGAAAATCCTAAAACATGTTTCTCAAAATCAAACAAGGAAAATTTTCTTTTACTAGAGAAACAAAAACCTTGGGAGTATCAAGATCAAGGATGTACTTCACATGCCCAGTTCATTTACGAATGCATCAAAAACTGATACGTTTGTAAAACATGTTTAATTGAACTACATGTAAGACGAGTTGATGCACCATGTTTACCTGTTAAATTAAGAACAATAGCTCATCATCTGGTAACTGTGAAGATTGTAGCATATTTATAGCAGAGTTCAAAGTTCTTGATGAAAACAAGAAAGTATGCATTGAATGCAAGATCAAGTACAAGAATTTTGAACAAATAATCGATGACGAATTTGACTGGGAAAAATTTCAAAAGAATTATTAGGTTGGCTAAAAAGTTTTGATACCATTGGTACAGTTAACTTTGTTTATTAATTATTTCGAAACGAATTATACATCTTTGTCAAAATATTTGCCGTCATGCTCTATGACATATCGCCATCTTTCAGGTAGCTTTTCGAGTCCAGATCGCAAGAAGCTGACGTCTGCACTTCGACAACTCTCGTCAAGGCAAGAATAGACTTGGTCTCGATTTTGGATGATTTTGTTCTTGAAGAAATTGCTTAAAGATAGGAAAAGGTGATAATCTGAAGACGCAAGGTCAGGTGAATATGCTGGGTGGGGTAAGACATCCCATTGAAGCACGATTAACTTTTGGAGAGTGATCCTAGCAGTGTGAGGCCGTGCATTATCATGTTGAAAGACTATTCCGGCTCTTAATTGATCACTTGGGAATAAAGATTTAGCCTTCTGTGAAACTTTGTCAAGCTGTTGAATGTACTTTGTAGCAGTTACAGTTTCACCAGGTTGAAGTAGCTCCCAATGCACAATACCATAGCCTGACCACCAGATACAAAGCATGACCTTCTTCGAGTGGATCGACGGTTTTGCCACGGCTGAAGCAGTTTCATCTTTGTCAACCCAAACTCCATGTCTTGTAGTATTGTCATAATATATCCACTTCTCATCGCCAGTTATCAATCTGGTCAAAAAATTTTCTTTTTCTTGTCTTACAAGCAAAGAATTGGAGATTGAAACTCTGTTCAACTTTTGATCCATAGTTAAAGAATGAGGCACCCATTTTCGGAGCTTATAAGTTTTACCAAGGGCACGGAGATGATTCTCAATGGTACCATGAGCAACATTTAACATTGAAGCAAGTTGTCTAGTGGTCAAAGTTGGTTCATCTTCAATGGCCTGGAGGAGCGCAAGGTCACTTACCGTCGAAGGTCGTCCACTTCTTGGTTCATCTTAAAGGGTTGTATCTCCTTGACGAAAACGGGCAAACCAACGTTCCACAGTCACTAATGATACTGAGTCCTGTCCGAACACTTGATCAATCCGTTCTTTGGTCCTGAACCGATACTGAACTCATAAAAAATGGCACATCGAATTTTCACTTTTTGATCTACCATTTCGAAAGTCTTAAACTGAAATGCCATTGTAATTAAATTTATGAATTCAACTTCAAATCTTCCCACAATAATCATATTTCAATTTCTTAAAAACAGGAAATCGAAATAATTAACTATGTTTATTTAGCAGTTCGAAATCTGAGCCCTGTATGAATGGTATCAAAACTTTTTAGCCAACCTAACAGAAGTAACCAAGAACATTTTGAACTGCAAAAAAAAGAAAATGACTACTCTTCTCGAGTACAGAAACAATATCTTTAGAGCTGAACAAGCCAAATTTGATGAGGTTCTCGAGAAAATTATAGCCGATTTCACGCTACACGAGAAAATATTTGAACATGAAAATCAAGAACTTGTCAGTTGTTTTGACCAAATCAAGAAGGTAAGTGATTAAATTACGTGTTTCATGAAACTAGATTTATAGTCATGTATTTTAAACTGAGAACTAGTATACGTGTTTCGAACTCGTAAAACACGCGTTTTTAAGCATGAGAAACAGCTGCGTTTAAATATATAGTAATCGTAACTTTGCATTACTTTAGTAAACAATCACGCTTATCCTGACACAAACCTGTGACGCTCGTTTTTAAAACGAAGGGAAATGGTTTACTGGGTTGAAAAGATTGATTCCCTTGTTCATTCTTTTGCATCATTTTCCTTCACTCAATTACGGTTGACTTGGGTTAATACTCAGATTTTAAGAGGCGGAAAACTCTGCATTGAAATCTATCGAAAATGACCAAAATTGGCCAAAATTTTCTTTTGCATTAAATTTTCATGAAACAGCAGCGGAAAATAATGGTCAATAAAACACAAAGACAAAATTTAGTTATATTTCATTTTAATTAGAAAAATCATGTTAATACTCCCAAAATTGTTAATTGCCCGTTTAAATTATAATTTTGATAAATTTTATTATTCATATATTGTCAAAAATAATCTAAAGATAAGTACTAGCCCGATTAAGCTCAATTTTTCCAGTCTTTGTTCAAAGATTTTTCTATTTCATAGTAGGGTGGAAACTTTTGTGTAAATGAACCATGGAAAGCAACAATACGATTATACACTAATGGCCATAAAGAATCAAAAATAACTTTTGCTCCAGCCTTATTAGGATGAAGACCATCGTACAGGAGAGATCTTGAGTCTGGATGATTTTTTGTGATGGAATACAAATCAAGAACTTCTACTTGAAGTTCCTCAGCAACTTTCCTGGAAATGTTAGCGAATCCTTCTGGATGTCGTTCAGCCATGTTTGGTGGATAACCTTGTGCTTTGGCAGCATCTTGATGATGGTAAACTGGAGGAGTCATCAATATGATTTTATCTGTAGAAACACCCTGACTTCTAATATAATTTATTATCCAATTCAAATTATCTTTGTATTGTTCTTTAGGAATATAGTTATCATAGCAATCATTTGATCCTAAAAGTATCACAAAACAAGCAGCCTTTTCATAATCATCTTTGGTTAATATATCAGGTAGTATTGCACGAACAGATCTTGTGGTATAACCACTGAAACCTCGGGCAATCACATCACTTATTCTGAAAAAAAAATATAAAAGAATGAAAAAATTTTAACATAATATTACGAAAAACTAGTGCTCTGAATAATTATGATTACCTTTGTAAGTTATTAGCCAACATAGTTCCCCAACATCCGCCATCAGCAAAGAAAGCACCCTTTAGAGAAAAACATAAAAAAAATCTCATCGAGTTGTGTGAATGAAACCCTGTTATAACCCTAATAACTTTGACATTATTCAATCAAAAGATTTCCTCCAAACAAAATCTACACATCAGTTCAAACATAAGCATGTAAGAACATCTAAAAATTGCTTTAAGTGCAGCTACCAATGTACTCATGAGAGTGAACTGGAAGTTTGAAACCGTTTAAAGTGTGAGCTCGCATGACGATTTGCTGTGAAAACTGCATTACAAGCAAAAAGCCTCGCTAGGCCGTTTACCTTATTTTTTTATTATTGCTCCTTCATTAAAAATAAAAATTAAACTAGGAAAATTTAAAAAAAGTGGAACGATTATTTACCTGAGTTATCGAATCACCAATAAGAATAACTTTGGACCATGTTGTCTGAGCCATGTTAAAGGGAAGAAAAAAGATTACTAAAGTTAATGTTTCAAAGGCAAAAAGAAGTCTTTATGATTGATTAAACCTTTGTCTTTTGTTCACTTGATGATCTCTTCTAGTCAGAATAACTATGTATGTACTAGTCAACCGGAAGCTGACGCAGTCTGAGCGAGCGTCAGAGACATCGTAAATACGATTTGGAACTCTTGTGAAATATGTTATTCAGGAGCAAAATTTTTCACTAAAACTTCTAAAGCTTATCCAATTTTGATTGTATTAATAAATTTTTTCTAAAATAACAATTTTTGCCCTGAATCAGATAAAAAAATATGCAACTCAATGTAAACTGGCAGACTGACCTAACAAAATTTTATGTGAGGAAACTTGGCTATCAATTGGCACTTATTCAGTTCACCCCATGCAACGATTATTTTATTTTTCTAATCGATTGATATCTTTATTTTTGCATGCTTTCATGGTTATTGGATTGGATTTTCTAGCTGATATGGTTTATATGGTACGTTCAACAATTATTTTCTTGCTTCTTTCAAATATTACTTACATCGTTTCATTTCAATCATCTGTGAATTAATCCATTATTACTGAATGACTTTGCGTTGCTTAACTCTCTTAGAGTAGCAATAATGTTAAACGTAATTGACTCAACGTAATATTATTATTAACGTATAAACATATTAGGAGAGAAAATTACTTCATCTTCTCTAAGTTGACCCTTAAATGATTTGTGATTCAACCGCAATTGGTTGAACTAACCAAAGGAACAATCAATCGATGGACAAACACATCTTAGCAATAAATCTACTCACATTTTGGTTGTTCCCAGAATCATAAGATGATGTGATTTCAGCTTGAACTCGAGAGGACCGTGAAACGACAATGGTAACTAAAACAAGAGACAAAATCCACTTCATTTTCAATGCAAGGTTCAAAGACAATACTGTTAATGATTGTAGATACAATTTACACAATCCATTTATGTATTAAAACAATAAGATCAATCAGTTTAACATAATGCTATCACAAGTCATTTTCATTATTCGATTAACTGTCATGAGATTATTTATCATGATCGAGTTCGCCGTTAACTGTTAAGCGGAAAATTTTCTATCTAAAAAGGTTGACAAATGTTCATATCTAACCTATTAGAATATTTCAAGCCCAAAAAGTGCGGAATTACTGTGGGATACTTCACTGTTGATAAAGCCATTGGCATAACCGGTTGTAAGTCTTAACTTGTAAGTCCCAACTCTTGACTCGAAAGGAAAAATTTTTTTCACTCACTCCTTTTCATTAAAAAGCTGAAGTGGCGAAAAATTATGTATTCTCATTCATTTAATAAATTTATAATTACAAAATTAAGTCCTTGGTAGCTGATTTTTGAAATTTAAAATCAAATTTGTTCAAAATCAAAATTTTGCCAAAATTGATGACAAGCAAAATGAAAAATTGCGCCACTTTTGTTTACAGTAAACATGCCTAAAACATGTGACTTGATAGAAATGAAAACAAGTCATTCTTTTGCTGAATAGTTCGTTTAAATTTATTGACACTTTATTTCTAATCTTCAATGAATTTTGGCCTTTGTCCATGTTTCGGGCTTTTAATCAGATCTAATTTTAAATCTTATCCACAGTTGTCAAGACATTTTTCAGCCATCAGAGTACTTGGTATCGGTAAGCATGCTACAACAATCATGGTCTTTCTATAAACTGATCTTCTTTATCGGTCTGTTTTGATTGTAGAATCCACTTGTGATGATACTTGTGCAGCAGTTGTAACTAGTGATAAACGTATTCTTAGTGACGTTCGTTTCTCTGGATTGAAATTACATGTAGCTCGAGGTGGCATACTTCCGACAACTGCTCGTGCTAATCATGCTACAGCTATAAATGGTGTTGTTAAAGAGGCTCTTGGTAAAGCTGATTGTACAATTAATGAAATTGATTTTGTTGCTGTATCTTACAAGCCTGGCTTAATATTGTCACTTGGAATTGGCGTTGATTATGCTCGTCGACTATGCCTAAAATATAATAAGCCATTAATAGCTATCCATCACATGGAAGCTCATGCTTTAACAGCTCATTTAAGTCATTCGGACATTGATTTTCCCTTTCTGACATTATTGATCAGTGGAGGACACACAATGCTTGTGTTAGTCAAGGGTGTTGATGAGTTCTACCTTTTGTCTGAATCAAATATTTGCCCCGTTGGTAAGCTGAGTTTATTTATTTTTTTACTTATTATCGCTTATTAGCTTAAACTTAAACCAATCTATTATTTGCATTTCTAGGTGAGTTTCTGGATAAAATTGCGCGACAACTGAAAATAAGAAATTTAGGTAAATAGTTATTAATTTACATTTAATGTTTCAAACTGATTCTAGATTTTATCTCATCTAGGCCCTCCGTATGACTCAGTCTCTGGTGGAAGAGCGCTTGAGATTTTGGCAGAAAAAGGGAAACCCATACATTACTCTAATTCATGGGTTGGTGGAAAGTCAAATTGTTTCAATTTTAACATTAACAATTTGAAAGGATTTTGGCACAATATAATCAAGAATGCAAAAATTAATAATCCTAATCTACCTGTTGATAGTCCTTTACCAGATGTTGCTGATATTGCTGCTGGTATCCAGAGATCAATTGTTTATCACATTGGTTCCCGTATTCAGCGAATAGTTAAATATTTGGAAGCAACAAATATGATCAACATTGTAAATAGTGAAAATCTTAGTAAATTAAGATTAGATGATCTTCCTTGTAAAATTAACTACTTAGATCCAAAGCCAGTTAAACTGAAATTAGTAATTAGTGGTGGAGTTGGCTGTAACAAATATATTGTTGCAAAATTGAAAGACTATTGTGATAAAATGGATACATTTTATGATGAGACAAAAATAGAAGTTGTGGCCCCTTCACCGAGGCATCTCTGTACAGACAATGGAGTAATGATTGCCTGGAACGGTATTTTAAAATTGATACATAAGTGTGACAATAATTGTGTTAATAATATTTTGTTAAGAGAGGCTGACATCATGTCCCTGGAACCAGTCCATGAAGCTCAACTTGGAGAGGATGTAAGACAATTAATAGATACCTCGTGGATTGTTATAAAACCTTTACAAAAGGAATCAAAGGTTGTACCAAAAAATGAGGTTAAATGAAAAGGCAAGGTAAAGTCAATTACATCGTCATGAATTTGATTGGTAGAGATAGTAGTGGTAATAATCAGCATCATGATCCTTGCTCATCATTGTATAAATATAATATGATAAGTTACATATAAACATCTATTGCATCTTTCTTCCAAACAAACGTTATTGAAGTAAAACTTTGTTTTTTTCTCGTTGAAGTCCATTACTCTACGCTTTCTATTTGCGATATTGAATCCGATCCCCGTCAAAATGCAGTCAAGTAACAGCCCAAATGTGATGGTGAAAAAAAGATGCAGTTGATCTTCGTTTCCAAAGTTTGTAATTAAGAGACCCCTTGGATCCAATAATATCTTCAAAGATAGGATATAGACAATTTACAGGTATACAACAGGCTAAAATGACTGTTTCGTTATTTGCTTAATGTGCAAAAATCTTTTTTTGAACAGCTTGTTGTCTTGATTTTCATCGATCAGAGTTAATTATGCACAAATATTGTTAGTTAAGTTGCACTGACCAGGAATTTAATCCATTCATTCCCCACTGAAAGAGTCAAGAATATTTCCATCTCTTAACATCAACCAGCGATTTAATATTTACTTTCGTATGATTCATGTTAATCTCTGCTGTAAACTTGACCAGAGCTTGTTGAAGGTGGATTATTCTCCGAAGATAATACTCCGAGTAGTCTTCCTCGTGTCATCTCTCTTGATTCTTCCAGCCTGCAATGATAAATGAAAAATGTGAAATATAAATCAGACCTTGATTGTAAAAGAAAATAATAGCCAAAGAAATTATTCTTACCCTAATTGGAAAGAGAGATCTTGAAGTTCTTTAACTCTATCGAGTAAGGCAAATGTGGTCAAGCTACCAAAACCATGAAGCATATTTATGTCATCTTGATCCAAATCTGCTAACCATTCAGGTGTTTCTGGTTTCTCGCCAACCAAAGTTTCATTATTAAACATTTCGGTATTAATAGGAGAACTACGAGCTAGGAAATCTGTTATTCCAGGAACTGTTATACAAAAAGCGGGAAAATTGTAAATAACATTGAAAAACAATGGAAAAATAGCCAATATTGTCAGGCTTACTCTGTTCTGGCCATAAATCCGGACTTGAAGCATCCAACCTTTCTTCTGAGAACAATGATTTCTCAAATTCTTGAATCATTCCAGTCCATTGTGTAAGATTAATATCCGAATCGTCTTGGTGGCTCATTGCACCATCATTTCCACTTTTCTGACCTTGTTCAATATCCTCAAGCATTCTGAAGTTTCTTGGAACAACAACAGTTCCTGACATATTGATTGACATTAGATTTAAATCTATGTAAATCCAATCTGAATAAGATTCTGGTTAGAGAGAAAGGAAGATTACGGGTGAAGCAAAGGAAAACAAGGTTAGCTTAAACAAATTAAAATTAATTAAAATAAAAAAAATGATTCAAAAGAAAATTAAAATCTACTAACCAGATTAGTTGATCAATACAGTAAATACCAAAACAAGGAAAATTAAAACACGGTTTTTTAAACAATACTTTTTATCACAATCTTATATTGGATAAGTGGCGTTGCATAGTGTTAAAATGTGAAACAGTTTGGCGCTAAGTACAAATGTTGAGTGAAGTCTACCTACAAATAAAAACATGTTTGTGGTTTTTAAGAAGCTTTAAGATACTTAAAACTATAACTGATTAATTAAAGACGCTTAATTGCTTTGTTGCTTAAATTGGATACTGTTTCTTTTGGTCTTGCTGACAATGAGTTATCTCTGTGCTATCGTTTACATTACGATACCGATCAACATTACTTGAATTTTGGACTGTCTTTTTAATCATTCAACCTATTTGTCCAAATCAAATTTTTCTCAGGCCTGAACAAACTATCAATGCATTGATGCTATTTATATGTTTATCAATAATTTAAGTGATCCTTTTGATAGCAATGAATCAATTTTTCTGAAGATTTATCCTCAGCCTCTTTATAAATGAAGATGAAAGAGTGTAGCGTTAATGTAGAAAATTGTATCTTTAAATTTGGTTCTTTTATTGTCTACTAATATCAATAAAATATTATACATTTATACACAGCTTTTGTAATCAAAACAGAGGGATAATAATCTTTATTAAGCATTGAAGAACGATTCTCAATTTGCTCATAATTAATAAATTATTGATCTTCATACATATCTTTTCTCATTGGATTATACATGTTTTATTCTGGTTCAACTCAACATTTTGATAACCATAGTTTTTGATTTTACATCTGTTTTTAAAAGTACATGTGTTTTAATTGATTTTGATTGTGCGTTGAAAATTGAATTAACGTTAAATTTGCAGGTGGATGGAAGACCGAATCAAGTAAAAGAGATCAATAATTTATTGTTTGGGTAATTATGCTAATGGTTTTATTCTTTAACATTATTTGTGCTCAGCTATTCTCTTCTAAAGATCAACTGAATTGGTAATTTTTGGTTTCTATTGAACTGCTAGTTGACAATTTTTGGTTATCCATGGATAATGATTAAAAAAGAAACAAAAGGATTTATATTTAAAGCTTCTACAACTGTTGAACTATTAATGTTGGTAAATCTGGTTTCTGGTAATAACTGGTCAACAATGAACTTTAGTGTTGAACGATAACACGAAACAATTTTTCGATAGTTGATCGTAAATTTATTGGTATTATTGTCGAAAACATTTGGACAAAATGGCACTTTTTAATGAAAAAAGAAATGATCCTAAAAATTAAAACAAAAATGCAAATTAACTTACAATTGTTAAATCAATTTGCTATCGATATATTGTCTACCCAAAAATATCGATAACTATCGATATTGTTACTGTTAATAACAATTTATCATCGTTCAACTCTATTATGTTTATGTTGAACTTTGAATCAATTTTAGTTGCTTATCAAGTTGCTACTCATCGTGTTTTTGCAGTTTTTTGTTTCTGTTGTTTGACAAAGAAATGAGAAAAGTTCAAAGCTATCACAGAAAAAGATCAAGTCTTCATTTAAAAGATACTTTTGATTTACAAATTTATCATGTTCCAATAATTGTCTCATTTTGAATGGAAATTTTTTCTTTGCTGGAAATTGAATTGGAATGAGGAATACAATTTACTGTAAAATACCGCTAACTCGAGATGTTGGTAAAAGATAAACGGTGAATTTGAAATGAAATCATGGTCCTTAGATGCAAATTGTGAGTAAATTTTCTTTTTCTAATATTGACATGTTTTTTCTCGAATTTTGTTACAATGATGACTCATGTTGAATACTTGGTTTAGATGATGTAGGCGCTGGCGAAATATGAGATTGGAGTGGAAACTGTTGCCGGTGTTGCTGCAAGTCTTGTTCTTGATGGTTTTCTGAGCCAGATGGTGGGGAGTTTAACGATTTTTCACTTTCACTTGCTTCCCCAGTCCATGTTATTGATTCAACTGAAACAGCGTCCGATTCTAAAGCTAATTCGGGATATGAAGGTAAAAGGCATTGAGTGAGCAGAGATGACTCTTCATCAACTATGGTAACATCAGATAATTTACGTGGTGTTGTCAAGCCAGGGCCAGCTAACTCGCTGTAAAGAGTATTGTTACCTTCTCCTCGAGTTAACAACCTTCTTCTGTCATCTTTATCATTATCGTCTTCAATTGTATCTATTTGTATGAATGGACCTTCACTGACGGGATGCCGCCAATTCTGTCTTTCCTGACTTGTATAGTCGCAATTCTTATCCAAAAATCTTAAATTGTAACCACGGAGTTGATCAGCTTCATACACATTTTGATTATCGCAACTTGCTTCCCGATTGAAACTATTTGGTATCAAGTTATGTCGCTCTTCATTATCTTGACCTTCTTCCTCTTCATCTGACCCTATCATTTGATCGATACCAAAGTGAAATTTAAAGTTGGCTGGAAGTGAAGCTACTCGATGAAATGCTGATTTACACTTTCTAAGCTCATCGTCACGTTTCTTTCTTTCAATGGCATCTTCCAGTGCTTTCTTTTCAGCAGCCAGTTCTCTTGCAATCTCCATGTCAATCTCATAATCTTCATCTTCTTCCATGTTTTTGTGAGACTCTTCCAGGTGTTTCATTAGAACGGCAACAACAACATTGACCAAAACAAACTGAGCCAATAAAACAAATATAACAAAATAAAGAGGTGCTATAACAGGAGATACACAACAATTTCGTAAACAATCTCGTGAAGAGTCACATTGGTCTCGTAGAGTGTCCTAAGTGCGAAAAAGAAAGATGGAACAAGTATTAATTATTTTGAAATTTTACCCGCAAATGTCTCTATCATTACCTTCATAACACCATTCCAATTGTCTCCCGTGGCAACTCTGAATAATGTTAAAAAAGCCATTCCAAAGTTCTGGAAGTGGGCATGTTCTGAAAGCCCTTGGCATGGATGATCATCATCACATTCTGGAAAAAAGGTGATAAAACAATATCAATTTGGTGAACGCAATCCTGGCATTTTCATTCATAATCATCATCAAGAACAAAAAGATTCATAAAGTCAATTTATAATTACCTAAACGACCAAATAATTCAACTCCAAGAGCAGCGAAGATAAAAAATAATAGAAAAAAAAGTAGGCCAAGGTTACCTACTTGGGGAAGCGCTTGCATAACAGTGTTTAACAAGGCACGCATTCCTTTGGCCATTTTAAGAAGTTTAAGGACACGCGCGATTCGCGCCACTCTCATAACCCGAATTATGGTCGGATTGATTGGAATCAATTCTGATTCCATTTCTTCCAAAATTATACCAACAATGGACAGTATAACAATTAGAACATCCAATTGGTTCCATTTATCTTTGAGGTAACGACGGATTCCAAGTGCATAAAGTTTCATTAAGGCCTCACAAACAAAAACCGAGGTAAAAACAAAATTGAACATCTTCAGGGAATATTCCAATTCCTAAAGAGTTAACAATAGAGATGGAAATAAGCAAAAGAAAAAAGATTTCAGAACCAATCGTAAAGGCATTAAAAGAGGCAGCAAAGCGAAAGAAAAGACAGAAAGATTAAATCGTAAATATCGAGAATAAAAGTTTATGAACTTTGGTTTCCAGTTATCAATAATGAAAATACATGAACATCTTACCCAGGGCATTTGATAATGCTCCAATGACATGGTTATTACATTTAAACAGATAACACCAGCTATAATGGCATCAAAATATTTTCCTGTCACCATATTATGAGTTTTCAATCGAAATGGACCATAACCAATATAATACGGCGGTTCTCTCATTTCTGGAAATAAAGCATCAAAGAAATAATAGATTATCATTATCATTATCATCCAGGAAATCAAAATAATAAAGTGAAAATCTTAACCGATTCAGGGGAGAGAAAAAAATGAATATTAAATGTATTATTACTGTAAATGTAGACCAGGAAAATATTAGTATTACAAAAGTAAAGTTCATTTTTTTGTAAAATACAATTTCTCTTATTTTTCTGTTTTCTATTTGATTGTTGGCCATCAAAAAAATCTGTAAACCTTTGTCAAAATTGTATTACAATATTAGAGACAAATAACTGTAAAGAAGGCAAAAGGTTCAAGTTGAAAAGGTGATTCCACAAATGAAGGAAAAAATGGCTCGATAAGACATGGGATTGGCAAACGAGATCAGATTGAAATGAATGTGTAAAAAGAGAGGTTTAAATTAATGTTAAACATGCAAATTTTGATGCAACAATTGCTTCAATTGAAAGATGGAAAAAAGTAAAACAATAAACATGATCATGGGGAGTCTCGATAGATAACCAGAAAAATGATATTTACTTGCATCAAGTTGACTATTAAATTGAATTTCATGATAACATAACATTAAAAGTGAAACCTGGAGGTTAGATGAAAATGTGATACAAACAATTCAACTTGCATCTCTACAGATCACAGTTTTCATGTCAACCAAGAATGAAAAAAAACCCAAAAAGAATCGCAAATTAAATTCAATTGATTATTAAGTTAACCTTAAACATGATTGAAAGCATCAAAAAAACCAGAGAAACATTAATTTTTGAAAATTTCCACTTTACGATGAAAGTAAATGGTTTGTCTGGAAAAGGCTGATTTAGACAAAACCAATCATTAATCATATTTTTGTGAAATAAATCTCTCGAATCACTGATCAACACAAAATTGAACAAATTGAATTAAAATTGGAATCTCAATTTGCGCTTTAACACAATGAGTTTGACATCAATCTTGATATCAATTTTGTAATTTTTAAATGAAACTGTTTAAATTTGTAATTCCAATGGTTGAGGGAAACAATTATTTTGACAAACTTGACCACAGAATCAATTTAATTGTGTAAAGCCAATTGAAGTGGACTCCAGTTGACAGAGAAGACCAAAGTAACTCAATTTGTCCAGAAACCTTTCAAATGGCTTTCAATGTTTTCTTAGTCACAACATTACATTAATGCAATTCAATTTATCCTTAACCTTTGCGTTTATTCAATTGAACATGAAACAAAAAATAATTATTATCATGAAAATGATGTAGATAATCATTATGATTATTACAATGTCCAATTGACCTTGCATTTGATTACCTTTGCTTCCCATTTCCTATCAAAATTATCATTGCTCCAGTTGCTTCCAAGTTAAACATTAAACTCTTATTATCTTTTCACTTCAATTATAACATTAGTTGGCGCATTCATCATCACCATTACCTGGTTAACTGTGCAATCAAAATTATTGGTTAACTCGTTTAATTCAATTTCAGGGTAAACTGATTAAACGATGAAAATTCTTAGCATATTTTGTTAACCAAAAAGCCTCAACAACTGATTAATTAGTAGCTTTTTACCTGTTAAAGAAGCTTCTTTCAGAGACGAGTAATTTAACCAAGTTCATCGAGTTTTTCAGAAGCATTTTTTTGCTCAGATTAAACAAGCTGAAGCAAAATGATTAAAAAGAGTTGAATGAAGCGTTCGATCAATCATTCAGTAACTTTGGCGAGTTTCAAACCACTTTTCTAATCAGTGGTGATGATGAACAATTTGATGAAATGTGTTTCACTTGCAATGGAAAATTTCGTTGATTGGAAAAGACAATTTGAGCGAAAACTGGAAAAATTGAAATTGATCAACTTGAATGACATTTGATTATTCGAAAGCTGTCAACTTTCGACTAATTTTTTTGCTTCTCTCTTTTATTTGGCAACGTTATCATTGAATGTGTATTATTGTAATGAAATTGGATTCAATGGAAGGTGAAACTTTGTCAACGAATAGGAAAGGAAATTAATCCTTCCCAATGAAACTCAATCTCTAAATCAGATCGTTTTATCTTTAATCAATATTGCTCATCAGATGAATGGGAATGAATGAAGGTAAATAATACTAATGTTAATGGTAAATGATGATTACAGTCAGTTGATGACCATTTTCATTAATAGATATTCATTTTCAATGTTGGTATAAAAACTTGAGACTATCAAGTAAACATATTGAATTAGACAATGTGTTTTCAACCATCAACCTCTAATGTGGTGACATTATGGATGACAATATGCAAGAATTTGATTCTCAAATGCATTCAAACATCAACAATGCAATGAAATAGATGAACTTTAGCAAAAAGACTGTCAATAGACATTAGACCAAGTTTTAAAAGTTCAAGCAAGCCTCAGTCTAGAATTTCATTCTGAAAGAAAACTAAACAAACTTCAGTTCAGACAAATCGTTTATAAAAGGATAATCATGAATAAAGACGATTTTCTGCAAATCGATCAATGAATAACTGTTGGACTTTTGCTAAATTTTGCTAAAAATTTAGTTGTAGAGATTTCATTATGTGAATTAAACGTAAAAGAAGAAGAAATTTGCTAAAGTTTTTAAAAATTCCAGCAAAAAGCATTTGAACCCTTTTCTCCATAAAATTGAAACGAAATTAATGTTTTCATACATCTTGTAGACTTTGAAAATTGTTGAAATTTGCGACAATTCGAGGAAAAAAAATCCGATTTCATGGAAGAAACTTGAGAAATGATTTGAGAGTATTTTTCTAGATTGGGTTTTCTGAATGTTCATTTGAACAAATTGCTTTTTTACTTTTCTTTTCGAATTTCATTTTTCAATTTTCTAGATTTTTTTGTTCGACTAAAGCATTCTCGATTGAATTGCATGAAAGGTTGACAATTAGTCTCATTATCATTTGATTAATCTTGGTTTGACATTCAATCAACTGGAATTGTAAAATGATTTGTTAACCTGAAAGAAGAAAAGTTGTGTTAAAAGTCGAACTTTAAAGTCGTCAAAAGCAAAATAAAAAAGAGTAAAGTAGATTAATATCATTTACAGGGAATGAAAAATTGCATTCCAAGGTAATAATAATAGTCTTCCATGTAATAATTCCAACAGTAAAAGCCAGAATTATAAATCAAGATGCTCAGTTGTCATAATAATAGTCGTTTGTTTTGCGCTTTACAAACTCGACTAAAGTAATCTTTTACTTTTCCCAAATTCGCTTTTGGAAACCAAAGAGAACAACAATTTAAACTGAAAACTCGACTCAGGTAAACATAAAAATGCATTTTATTCCATCATTTTCATTCTTTTTCGTCTTTACTTTCTCATCCTTTTTCATGATCATCATTTTCATGAGTTGCACAACTGAAAAGGAAAGAGAAGAAAAATGAATCTCTTCTGTTGTACGAACTTTTCAGAACTTTTCTCCCTTCTCTTTACTTCATTCCCTGTTAAACGACAAACAAGTTGACAACCATGCAACCATCAGAATAAGAATATTTTTTTGAGAGAAAAAAAGAAAAACATGAAAAAGAGCAATTTTTCAATGATTTTTCTCTTTGCAATTCAGTTCAGGTTATAAAGCATCATCATGATGGTTTCATCATTATTGAACAAATTTGTTGTTTAGATAATAAATATTACCACAGAATGTGAAGCCGAATAAATGTGAATTTATGAACTCAATTTATGCTTATTATCATTGCAACGATTAACCCAGTAATTTGATCAAAACTTTTTCTGAATAAATCTCATATTCATAACTTGTGAAGCTACTTCCTGACTTGAATCCCTGGATTCAAAACACTTTTCGTGCAAAATTTTGAAGTTTCATGCAAATCGATTCAACAGATTTTGTTTGCCTGAACAAAGTTAAATTTGAGTCGAATTTTGAAAAAAAATCCTTTTTAATATTCTTTAATTGTTTCACCTAATACCAATTTGTATTTCTATTCAAGCTTTAAGTTTCAATCTGTTGTTCGACCTCGATCATGTGATTTTTTGAAACATTATCATGGGAAAAGTGAAAAAGCAAATTACAAGTTCACATGAAAGATGAAAGACTTGGAAACATCAAAGTGATGGTTGCGTGCATTTAAAGTCAAGAAACATTGAAACTGTTTGAAGTCTTCAGCTGGTCAAGTTTTGTCAGGCAAATTTGAACATGAAAATTGTGAAAGGAATAAAAGAAATTCTTTGATAATAAGAATAATTTTCAATCAATTAATGTTCAAATTCATTGCGGATCGAGTGTTCAACCAGGTTATTGAACTGACCAGATAACATGCGATCAAAAATGAGGTGAATGAAGTGAACCAAGCAACTTGAATCTATCAGTTATATCGTACTCTCGTTTTTAGAATCATTTTCATCTTCATTAGCATTGCAACTGTCAGCCTTATTATATTATTATCATAATTGTTATTACTGTCATTTATATTATTGGTTTCATGACACTTGAAGTTGACTGCGCGTTTAAAGTAAATCATAAGTTGAAGTTTATTGTAAATCATGTAAACAAAAAGTGATCGGTTAAAGGGAGGAAAATGTGCAATGAGAAATTGGGAAATGTTAAAAGGCATACTTCGCCGTCGTTTCTCCAATTTTCGTGCTCTTTTCTCGACTCGACGGGCACGCTCTTCTTTCTCTTGTTCCTCTCGGCAGCGATGAAAATTTTCAACCACAACACCGACAAACATGTTAAGGACAAAAAAGGCAACCAACAGTAAGAAGGAGATGAAATACAATAAACGCCATTCGTTGTAATTTTCACGTGGCTGTTGATCGACACCAACAGCATCCAACCCAGTATACATTATGTTGACCCAACCATCCTTGGAAGAGAGCACAAACAGTGCCATCAGTGCCTGGAAAAGAAAGAAAAAAGCACAAAATAATTTTTTTCAAATCATGACCTTTTTGTATACATTTGGTTGTGATGCTTACTTGACCGAGATTATCAAAGTTGTACTTTCGATTGACCCAACGATTCCGAGGGTCACTTAGACAGTCAGTCTTGTTTTTAACAAACCTCACATCTGGACCTTCGCAGTAAAACAAAGCACCTTTGAATAGCTGTAAATAGAAATTTCAATGAAATCGGTTAATGCGACATTTAATGATTTTAGTTCATCAAACTTACTTGAACGCCTAAAATACCGAATATTAAGAAGAATGTACAGCAAATTAAGACGATGTTTCCGATTGGCCTCAAGGATGACAATAGTGTTTGGACAACCAGCTTGAGTCCTGGCGCTCTATTGATGACTCTGGGAATGTAAAAGTTAAAAGATTAATTTAATTGAAAAATGTCACTTTGTTTTCCTGTTTAGCTTTACCTTAGAGGTCGAAGTGAACGGAGAAGACGAAAAACTCTGAGAATACCAAATATTCTTGGACTTTTCTGAGCAATAAAGGAAAGGAAAAGATCAAAGAGGGAAACACCAACCAGAATACCGTCCATAACATTCCAACCACTCTTGAAGTAGGCTTTATCACCATACCAAAGACCATTGGCAATTACTTTGAGTGCCATTTCAAGAGCAAAGACAACAGTAAATAGATAATTGGCCGCCGTTAAAAGTTCCCTTTCGATACTCCAAGGTGGTATCTTGGGTCGCTCCATGGCAAGTGTAATACAATTGAGAGATATAAATATAAGTATAACATAATCGAAACACCGATGTTCAGTTATGATGGCACAATTGATACGAATCTTGTTATTGGGTGGAAACAGAAACAGTGAACAATTGTCTCGCTTGGACATCCAGTCATACCATTTAAAGTAGGCACAAAATTTACGCTCCTGAAAACCTCTGGAACCCAAACCAGAGCCAATCGTTGGACCCGAAGGTGAAACCAAATAACCAGTTCCCGAAGTGGCTGACAACCCACCATTTGAGTCTTTGCTTTTCGTGACTTCAGTTGTCGTTGTTACTCCACTCAACAAGGGTCTCGAAGGCGATGTCAAGTTGACCTCACACTTGCCCTCAATGCGAACCGATTTACGTGAATCACTTGAATCTTGATTAAACTCGGGTAAACCCGATGATGAGTTTCGATTGGCAAGTGCTGCCGGTTCACTGGAATGGTTACAAATGGGAGCTTCTACGGGCACAGAGCCGGTGGCTGGTTCAGTTTCAGATGAATATTTTCTGGTAATCAGCGAAGAACAATAGAAAACTCCGCTCAACGAGTTACCCAGACTGAGGGCTTTAATCTCGTGGATCAAGGAGTACCTTTTGTCACCCGAATAATGGCCCGGTGAGGGAGTTGAAACGGAATCATTGGGACTTTTAAGGCTAAGTGAACTTCTTGGTGTTACCAGAATGGGTCCCGAAGAGTTGCGTTTGGTCTCATTGTGGGTTGGAAAGGGTTCCGTTGAGGTTGAAAAGGGTGGCGGTGAGGTTGTTGTGGACGTTTTACGTTGATTTACATTATCATTAATTGGAACGGTTTGGTTAAAGGAAACATTTGAGTTGGCTAATGATGAACTTAATAGACCTGCCTTATAGTGTTTACGCAGGGATTTAATTGTTTGACTAGTCAATTGGTTATCAATTGATTCACGTTGATATTGATTTTCACGTTGATATTGATTTTCACTTGTTTCAACCAACTGTTGTTGTTCAAGTTGCCTTTGTTGTAGTAAAGGTGAAAATGATGAATCATTTAATGATTTTTCCAGACAACTATTTTCATTTTGATCCATCATTAGAGTTTCATCAATCTTTTCTGGTGTTGCATTCAATGAGTTTACCGGTGGAAAATCATTTTGAGATGAACTTGGTGAAGTTAGACTTTCACTTGTTTCCTCAATGATTCCTTGAGTTTGAACAATTAGATTCACTTGTGGTGATGATTTTCGCGGACAAACTGTTTTTGATGTTAATAGTGTTGAGGGTTCACTCAATCTTTCACTGAATAGAGTTGACTGTTGGCCTGTCAACAGTGAATTGGAATCATGAGATTCAGGGGGAAAGATAAATGATGTTCCCGGAATGTTCGATGAATTTGATGATGTCACTATTCCAGGCGATTCTTGTTCATTGCCAGTCGATGGTTGTGAGCTTCTTTCAACTACAATAGGAGGACTAACCAAAGAACCATAACATCGATCAGGATAATCAACTTTACTTATGCTGGGTCGACGGATTGTTGAATAAGGAGACAAACGAAATGGTGTTCCAGGAATCAGGTTGGGCATCAGGGAGGTTAGTGTACTTAGCTTCCGTCCAATACTACTCGAAGATGTATGATCTTCAAATTTGGACTAAAAGACAAAAGACAGAAATCATTCGTTTTCAATTTTTACCTTACAAATCTTTAAACTCATAAAATTTATTATTTGGTTTATTTGACTTCTATCGACATTAAAAAGTAGTCAACAATTGAAGTCTAAAATCTTATAAAATCGAAAAGTTTGACATGATTTTAAGATTGATTTTTGAGTTTTCATTTTTCATTACCTGTGACTTTTCAACATTCAATTGAGGCTGACTATTGAGGGCCAAACTTGACAAATTAAGGTGCTTATGACCATAAGATAGTTCCTGTGGTCCAGGTGAACCTTGAGGTGTGGCTGCAGTGTGTATAATTCTGGGTGGATAATATGAGCTAAAATCGGATTGAGCATTTGTCTCTTGGAATGGTTGTTCAGTCGAAGCGTCCACTTTATTTCTAAATCGCGATGTAATTCCAGGAGGATTTGTTAATAAATGAAGTTCTGACAAAAAAAAGGTATAAAAATTAGTGTAAATTGTAAACAAAAAGGAAAAGTAAGCGAAGTAAAAAGTTGGAAAACCTCAAAAGCTAATGAAAAGGAAATCAATCAAAACTGATTAACCATTTAACTTCATGAAATTTTTGCTTTGATAAGAAGAAGAAAAATGATGTTGTTTAAATTAATCATTTTTTATCGTCACTTCCATTGAACCTTCAAGCCATTTACCTATTTTGTTGCTGTTTACTTGAAACCTTTTGTTACATTTTATTAACTCAACCAACAAAAATTTATCAACAAAATCAGGGCAAGAAAAGTAATAACTTTTAATGCACTTAAACAACGAGATGATGATTCTATTATGATTGAACACTTTTATCTGTTTCCATGAAAAGCCTGAAAAATCTTAATAAATCATAAACATTTTGTCTTTCCTTTGCTTTTCATTTTCTAAAAACTAAAGTCTAGTTAAAGTGAAATAAATGACTTGGTCAAGATGGACTGAAAAATTGTGGTCACTTTAACAGCCTTTTGGTCGCTATTAAAGTTATGAGTTTTTAGAAGGAAAATGTTGAAAGTTGAAAATTTAGTTTTCTGTCGTTTCTAGCAGCAAAACAATATTATCTGATTATCTGATTAACTCGTCTAAAACTATTCAATTTCTGACTCTAATTTCATAAATCGTTATCTTGTTTGTTTCCCTTGGAATCTTATTTTCACCTGAGTTAGTTGCTTTCAACAAAAAGATTACAATTATTCAATTTGTTATCGTTGGTTAACCAGAAAACTTAAGTACATTTGTTTTTACCCTTTTTATTGAGCTTTTCATTGAATAATCTCAAGGATTAAAGTTGATCAACTAAACATGAAAACAGTCTTGATTATAATATAATCGTATTATTGTTATCTGATGAACCTACTTTCTGTCCATTTCTTGATCTTTTTCACCTTTTAACCTTTCATTAAGCTCTTACCTTTCCAATGAGAGATTATTATTTTGGGTTAAACAAAACATTGGCTGACTTTCATCGAATTAACTTTCAATCAAAAAGCATCTTTTGTCGATTAAAACATGTCAAGGTTTATCAATCAGACAACCTGAATATCATGATCAGAACAAAGCAAGAAATGATCGCCATTAAATATGTTCTGAACTGAATACATATTTGCATCAAAAAACAGTAAAACTATTGGAAGTGACTTGAATTTTGCTTCGAAGTTGAGAAACTTTTTAACGTTTGCTTTCTCAACATGTTTCTTGACTTTGACTGAAATGTTTTGAAGTTGATTTCAATGTTTATTGAGTTGAAATTAATTATCTTGATTCTTTGATACAAACCTTTTTCAAGATTGTCACCAGAATTGTAAAAATAAATTAACTTTTCATCTTTGACTTGCTCATCATCTTCATCTTCCCCATCCAAACTGTCCTTTTTATCTTCATCTTTCTACAATTATTCCAAGAGAATAAGAAAAAAAATTAATTTGAATGTCAACTAAAATGGACAAACGTTGTAACGAAATCAATATTGACCTTGAATCTGGAATGAATAAAGAATGAAATTATCAAGATTAACGTAAATTTCAACAGATTTCATGATTATCACAATATTCATAACAAAACTGTTCAACTTTTGACAAGCTAAACATGAGAACAAGAGTCGAATAAAGAAAATGCTTAAAAGGTAATTTCAAAAGAGTAAAAGTTCGTTGATAAGAAGCATAAGAAGAAGGGGAAAAAAGATTAGAATGATTATGATGATAATGATGATGATAAGTAGAGGAAGAGGAATGAAGAGAAATGAGAAAATGAATCAATGAGCAAAAGGTAAACCATGATACAATATCGGTTAAGAAGGTAAAAATGCTGAGCAAGTTAGCAACTTATTTTGCTCAACGAATGAAAAATGATCTCTTCAAGTGACTTAAAGATACTGAATAACAGTTTTTTTCCCTCATAATCATTCTGAGTAATACATCTTGTTCATCATCAGATCCTTTTTTTGGCCTTTACTTTCTTTAATAAAATGATTAGAAAGATAACCTTTGAAAAGTTGAAGTATAATGGAAGGAGAAGGAAGAGAGAAAAAAAGATTTCTCGGTGAATTGATGATAACTTGTTGGATAATTGTATACAAATAAAATGAAGAGGAACAAGTTTTTTTTGTCTTGAAAGCTTGTCGAGTTGATATTTTAATCAATGGAAACAATTAACTTGATTAAAGATGCAATTAAAAGGAAGACAATGAAGATGAGAGAATGGTTAATGGAACGAAAAGATGCAATGATGATAAGAGGTAAGAAGAAGAAGATGATGATGCAAGAAAAAGGCAAAGTAAATCACCTTTGTTGTCAACTGTGAAAAAGTTCATTTGTTGAGTAAAGAAAAGGGTGAAAGTAAAGAGGCCAAAAAGGTATCATCACTCTTGGAGTATGAGATTGTTAATGGTTATTTTTACGTTTAAAGCATTACCTTCGTTTGAGTAATTTACATTAACCAATATTAAACATAATTATCATCTTGGTTAGCATTTTGTCTTTTCATGTGTTGATTAGTGATTGGAAAGCCTTTTAATTGATGGCAACATTTTACAGCCTTTAATAAATTATTTGAGATCATCTTTGTTTCTCATGAATCATGTCCTATCATTAAATTGAAATCATTCAAGTTTGACAAACTTTTCTCGTTATGTAGCAATAAATAATTTGACATCTTCCAGTCATGTTGTAATTAAACTCGTTAAACTAGGGATAAAAGCATTTGCACAGGATTCCAAGGTTGACAGGGAAATTGCAATGCTTTGTAAGGCGCACTTTCAGACGCTATTTTTTGAGGTTGACGAGTTGAAAAATTTCATTTTTAGGAATTTCTTCTCGACTCTGAATTTAAACACAAAGAATCAGCTAATTTAATCATTTCTCCTGGAAACACCTTGTCACGATTCTGATTTCTTTCATGGTGTTGATGTTATTTCGATGATATTAGATGCGCTTAGCTTTCGATCTGAAGTGTGCTGAATGATGACCTGAGACTCTTATCTGTAACGGTCCGTATCTTTCCATGTTTGTCTAAATGAAAAACTCGAAGTTTGCGGTTTAATTTAAAAATTTTGTGAATATTTGCGATTTCAAATCTAACTTGTTTCAATGACATTGCTTCTTTGGTTGCGAGAATACAATTTGCTCATTGGAATTTTGACTGAAATTGATTGTGACTAGAATGGAATACGATGTTATGTTCATTTGCTGTTTTTGCTTAGAATTTGGTTAATCATTAAAAAATCTCGAAGGTTGAGAAAAAGTTGTCGATTGCAAAACGAAATTGAATTTTTTCGTTTCAATATTTTTCCATCTTTGACTTTGAACAGCAACCTGTCACTTTTATCTGATTTTGTTTGCACTTTCTTACTCAATCGGAAGTGCTGGTAGTTTCTCAACAGAAACGGAAGTAAACTCTTTAACTAAACGAAGAAAGTACAGAAATGACGATAAAATCGAGAGCATTTGGCGATGACAGATGAAAAGAAGAGAAAATGAAGAATGATTTTCTCAAAGGTAAATTGATAAAAAAATTGTCGACCAAGATTCAAAAGCATAATGAAAATTATCAAAAGATGATGAGGATGAAAGCGAAACACAGAAACAGGATAAAGAGAAGAAAAGGAAAAAAAGATTGATCACAATTGACTTAATCGATAAGGAATAACGAAGTTGAACATGAAGATGAAAGAGAAGAAAAAATGATGTAAAGACCCAACAAAGGCAATGGAATTGACCATGATGATGATGACAACAACATTTCTTGTATCATGTAATATATCTTCATATGAAATATGAACATTGATACAAGTTTTTTCTGATCCTTTTTTCCGTTTTTCACTTTCTCTTCTGACTTTTCTCAAGCAAATTCAACAGCTTTCATGTAAACCATTATATTTAAAAAATGAAACCAAATGAAGAGTAAAAAAAAGTCCAAGAAAAACAATAACAAAAAATGTAATAATAATAAAATGGTAAAGTAATAGATAACAGGGAATGAAACTGGGAGTGGAAACTCAGGTAACTTTATTATTATCCATCAACTAAATGACTTTATGCTATCAACTAAATTTTTTTGAGACTCAATTTTTTTCTTCTTTTCTTTTCAATATTTTCTTTTTTCAACAATTTTTCTTTTTCCATCTTGAAATGATGAGAATAAAAAATGTTGCTATAAATTATTCCTTTCACCATTACGACGACCATTTTAGAGCAACTACAAATGTTTATCAATGTTGAACTGAGCATGAAAATTTATGAACTTGCAGTTTAAAGATGATTCAATTGATAAAGACTAAGATGATCAGGGAATGAATGAAATCTCTCATTTCATCATTTGAAACATAATTGTCCAAATTCCTTGCTAAATGATTATCCATTATTGCATTCCTTACCTGTTCCTTGTCCAAGGGATAAAAACCCGAGGCTAACATGAAATGATCATTTGAAACAAAACCATACTTTTTACCAAAGAAAACATTCTTTTCTCTTTTCTCTCGAGACTCAATTTATGAGATTTCCATCATTTTGCTTCGTTTTTCTTCATCAGTGAACTGATAACATTCAACACTTTTGCCATTGAAAAGATTCATTTGAATGTAAATTGTTCTGTCCAGAGAATGAAAGGAATAATTATTATTGCATTACCATTTAATCGATATTTTTCTGATCGAATCTTGAAATTTTTGTTCTTTTTGAAATTTTTCATTTAGAAAAGAATGAAAATGAATAGAAAATTTTCAAGTGTAAATGATTACTGTATATTGATAACAATGGGAATGATCAACATTTTCTTTGTAAAATTAACGTTTTACATTCTTTTCACTCTTGATTTTAATATCATTTTCATGTATTTCATGATTGTTGTTTAGATGAATTTGAAATTTGATTATTTTAATAACATTTTTATGATAATTTTATTATTGTTATATTTTTGATCAACTAACAGTTTTTTCACAATTTTAGTCCACTTTTCACTCCCTGATTATCATAAATTGAATAAGCATTTTGTTTTGGTCACATTATCAGGTATTATGCATAAGAATGAAAAATGTTTTCTCAACTTATTCATTCCAAAAGCTGATCTATTTACATATGCCTCTATTGACCGTCAAGTAAACATTTGGTGTTACTTTGAATTTCAACCAGTCTAATTGTGACAGTGATTCAGAGCAACAATTTTCGCTTTTGCATTTCGTTCGAAAGCTTATCAGAATTTACGGAATAATCTTGTAACATGCATTTTCCTTTCTCCTGTAGCTGCAGCTCGAAAGTTTTCCATGTTTGCTTTGCAGTTTCCCTTAAGAAAATATTTCAAAAGGAAATTGAAATTTTTTTATGAAACGAGGATAGAATTCTTATTCCTATGATAATGGTGAGTATGGAAATGAGTGACTTGTAATAAAGATTACAGATAGAGTCATTGAAGATCCACTTATTGATTAGAAGATTTTTACCCAAAATTTCTCAAATCAGTTACAACTCCTACGAACTTGTTTTACGCTAATGAAAGAAGTTTCGAAAAAAAATTCGCTGAAAATTTGAATTTGCAGTTCTCAGTATCAATGAACTGACTTCATTTACAAAGTTCAGTAAAACACAATCAAACTGAAAGTCTATTAGAAAAGATTATTAAAATAATGACAATTGATGAACAAGAAAATGAATATTGAAATATGCAATAATGATGAAAAATGTTATCAAAAGCGTAGTTATAAAAGAAATGGTAAAAAATTAGGAAAAAATGTCTGATTAAAATAAAACTTATTTAATAACATAATGATTCAATGAATGAACAATTTGCATGAAAAAAGGAAAAAAAGTGAACCAGAAAAAAGATGTTCCTTTTCATTCCATACCTTTAATGTTGAATCATTACTATTTTGTTTGTAAAGTCAAGTCTTTTTTTGGTAAAAGTCAATAAATAAAAATGTTTCAGCTAAACAAGTTGTTTGAAGTGACTTTTGAAGTAAAAGCCAAGAAACTTTTACACACTTCAATTGTTGCCAATATTGATATCGTTACAACATTTTGATTACTTTGATGAATCCAAAAGTAAAGATTATTATCATTTTTAATGGGTTACAAGAAGCATAATTAAAGAGTAAAACTTACCTCTTGAGAGAATCCTTCAACCAGAATAGCAACAAGAAGGTTAAAAAGGACATAATTACCAAAAGTCATTAGGACAACAAAGTAAAGAGCAGCCCAGTGAGTAGTTCGTTCCATGCCATTGAATAAAACTACATTCCAATCTTCTTGAGTTAATATCTAATGCAAGTTGAAAGCCCAACAAGTTAATAGATTTAATGAAGAAGCGAAGAGAAAAAAAAGTTGAAATTACTTTGGGTTAGTTTATTACAAGAGCAAAGTTGAACAAAGTGTTGAAGTTGTGAGCATTTTTGTCTCAATGTTGACACCAAAGTCAACAGTGAAAAAAAAGCTTGAAGCAACTTCGAAAGGTGAGTTAACAAAAAGTCCGCTTAAAACGATTTCATTTCAAAGATTTTAAGTTTACTTGGAAAGACTTTTACTGCAAGTGCAAGTTTCAATGGTTTACTTAAGAGGCTCCTTATGTCTGTCTTACCTGGAAAACGGTTACCAAGGCCCAGAGAAAATTATCAAAACGTTTACGATCACAAATACAAGTAAGGTTTTTATTCAAAATGTCCCGACAAGAGCATGGGCTACCATCAAGCTTGGAACAAAATTTACCACCAAAAAGATGCATGCCAAGGCAACTATGCATATTAAGGCATTTTGTTTCAATGCATGGTCAATGTTGTTGTTGATGAGTAAAGTTTTTAAATAAGAACACATTTTATGCAAATTTTCATCAATTCAAAAAGTAAACAAGAACAGAACACATTTTTGAATCATTTTTGGTTAGTAGGTTTTTGTTCAGGAAAGATGACCGGAAACAGAAAACAAAGGTTAAAAAAGAAGATGTCGTTGATGATTCAAAGAGAAATGAAGAAGAAGCAAAAAGTGGGAAAAAAGATAAAAAATGGAATAAGAAAAAGTCGTTTCAAAGAGACTGGAGACTGGGAGTGATGAAGGGATTGGTTGATTGGAAATGTCATGAAATGAAAGTCAAAAGTAGCAACAACATTGAGAATCAAAATTCATCATGAAAAGTTAACGCTTGTGTTTCTCATTAAGATTTGCTCATCAGTAGGAAACACAAAAGCCATGAGAAGCAGAACAAGAAACAACAAGAAATGTGAAAATAAATCAAAAGTTCTGATGGAAAATTGAAAAGGAAACAAATTCCTCCAATTAATCTGATCAATCGATTGGCAGATTAGCAGTGAAATTTCCATTTCTATTCTGAAGAGTCGATAATAAATAACATAAAAATTTATTTCGATATTGAATTCTGGAAATTTTGATAATCTCTTCACAAGAATTCGTTTCATTTTTGAAATGTTTTTCTGTTGAAAATTCTTGAGTATTTGTTTCAATAGAATAATTAGAAATAGTAAATCAATTTGTATCATGAAACATGTTTTTCGAATAAAATTCAAACTTGAAAAGATACTTTGTTTTTGTTTTGATATTTCATTCAACATTCAAAATTATCATGCAACATGCAAAGGATTTTCAAAAATTGAAGTGCAAATTCAATGCAAAAAACGTCATTCAAAGAGTTGATAATGGTTAGATGATAATGATAATGTTAATGATAATTTTTAAAGTAAGCAAAATGTTGATAACTTTTAGTTGTTGAACCTTTCAAAAAACATTTCCTCAGTTGTTGAACTTTTACAGTTTTTCTGTTCCTTGACTTTAGTATTTAGACGAAAAAGTCACGTTTCAGTTGAGAACTTGAACAGTTTGAACAGTTCTAATGGAAAGATATTGTTCAATGTGAATGAATAATCAAATAACTGAGAAATGATGAGAAATTGAATTTAAGGTAAATAAGTTATCTTTTTACATAAATAAGTTAACTGAATTTCCTAAACTTGAGTCTTAAACTTTTCCATTTCAGTTCTGGTCTTTACTGGATTTTCCTGTTAATTGTCTTTCTTCTCTTCTCCAGAATCAACAAAATCAACAAGTTGATTCTTCCACCAGATAAGCTCATTACTTCAACTGTCTACTGAAACTAGTTCAGAGTTTTAAACCTATCAAAGTGACTAGATTTTCAGCTGAAATTTTGTGTTGAAAGGCGAAATTCAGCAGATTGATGAGATGAAATTGATGATCTTGTTAAATTGAAAATCGTACAAAATGTTCAACAGTTGAACAACATCGAAAATAAAAATCGTCAAAATGCGAACGATGAATATTGGAAAAGCCATGCACAGTTGAAGATCAGAGCAGTTAAGGAGCCTCATGAACTGATACTCGATGATGAATGTGATCTAATTATGTTATTTTTGGTTATTTTTCACTTTTCAAATTCTTAATGAAAAGTTATCAAATGGATTAAAAGTTTACCGCTTTTGTTTTTTGTTTATTAATCATTTTTTTGTTGCTCTCAAAAGATTTAAGCTTTCATCTGGAGGTAAACTTTTTATCCTAAGATGAATGAACCGTTTATATGGCTGTTAGTTAATGGTTAGAGTGTAGGAAAAGTGTTTAATATACTACCTGAAAAACTGTGACTAAAGCC